TAAAAAATCACTTTCAATTGTCATATACAAAATGTAATGCAAAAATTGATAATATGCGCAGTTTACAATACTAAAGTCGCATTGTAGGTTTAGCATGGAAGTATATTATTATTGCATTAATACATTGTTGTATGATGAGGGGGTCGGCAATGAAAATTATGACTGAAAATTGGGTGGCAAATATGGAAAGTTTGAGGAGCACTGTACTACAGTCAAGTAATGTGGATTAAACTTGAGCTTGTACCTCAACCTCATAGCTTAACCTCAAAGCCATCGCGATGATTTTGAACCTCGACAGAGATCTAACATGCAATAGTCCTACACGGCTGGTCCTCAGTGGCACACTAAGGCTCGAATATTTGACATGCCAACCACTGCTTCATTATCTTAACAACTGGGATATCTTGGTCCAAAATTAAAAAGATTGGGTAAGAACAGTGGCTGAGTGGTTAGTGCATTGCACTTCCACACAACAGGTCCAAGGTGCAAACTCAGGCTGGGCAAGGTTGACTCAGTCTTTCATGCCTTCAGTAAGTCGATAAATGAGTACCAAGCTTTATTGGGAACTGAACACTGAAGGTTTCGCGTCAGACTGACCATCTGACCGAAACACCTGCTCCTGTACCGCAGTGCCCAAGGTCGCGTATACTCAGTTGGGCACAGTAGGCCTTGTCCCTCATGGGCTGTCGTGCCACTAAGTTAACTAAAATAAAATTTTGCTTTGTTGACCTATGTAAGATTTTTTTATATATTACTTATTTGGAATAACTTCTTTGACACGCGCACGATCTCTCACTAAAATATTTCTTCACGTTATTTTAATATGTGCGTGAGATTCTAAAGTCACAAGATCAGTAGAATTTTCAAAATTGCTCCTTTTATGTTGTGATCTACCCTTTTCAGAAACTGCAGCTGAGTTTTTTTCAAGAACAGTTGAGAAACTGTTTTTAAAATTCTTCTAACAAAACTTCAAATAGGTTCGGAGATACAAATGCATCTGCTGGAAATCGGCATTTTTGCAGTCTCCCATCAACGGGATTGACAAAAAATATTCTTCCAGCTTCCAATTTTCTATGGACCCATACTCGTTCTTCTAAGGTCTCATGTTCCAGGACCCTTTGCAGGCACTATTGCTGTCAGAGTACAGACGCCACTTCAGTGTCGACTAAGTGTGCTCTAAGTATGTTCTCCAGCATCCACAGCACGTGCCCCATTGTTATGAAACTACTGTAAAACTAACACATTTATACAAAAGTAAAAATTTTCAAGGGGAATTTGTTTTTTTTTTGAAGTTATATTTTTTTGGGGCTTTAAAAAAATTTTGAGGGAAAATTTTTTACAATGCGCCCCCAAACCCCGCCCCTTGGATGCAAAAACCCTTTTATCTAGAAATATACAGAAGGGGAAAAGACATTCCCCCCTTTGAAATATTCAGAAAAATATTTCTCTTTCACTTTATATTTTCTTTTCCCCCTGAAAAAGGGGGACCCCCGGGGTTTAAACCCGGGAAACCCCTCTATCTGCAGTAAAATGCTCTACCACTGAACTATACCCCCGGGCCCCAAAAACCCTTTTGCTTTTGCGTTATGTAGGAACGGGTACAAAAAAATTTTTTTTGATTAAAAATATGCGGGAACGGGACAGATCTTTCCCCCGCCTTCGAAATTCTAAAAAAATATTCCTCTTCCTTCCGGGAAAAAGGGGGGCACCCGGGGTTTAAACCCGGGGGACCCCCTCGATGTGCAGTCGAATGCTCGACCACTGAGCTATACCCCGCTCAGAGAACCCTGTTTGGGGGTTCCGTAAGAACAGATACGAAAATGCTTTTCTAGAAATAGGGCGAACAAAACAGACACCCCGCCCCCGAGCCCCCCCCCATATTTTTTTGGCCCCAAATTTTCCCCCTCTGTGGGGGGTGTTTAAATTTATTTAAATCGTGATTATCTCGGGTTTTGGGGGCTGGCCCGGGATTGACTGACGGAAAAAGGTATCGTTCAACCCTGCCCCGGGACCCCCTTTTTTCCTTGGCCCAACCTTCCCCTGCAAAAAGATTTTTAAAAAAATTTTTTAATCTTGTTACCCCAAAAGAAGTATAAACTTCTTACGTGCGTACATGGGGTACTACACTTTTTTTTTTACCTAGCTCTTTCCCTTATTAAAAAAATTAAAAAACCCTCAAAACTATCATTTTGAATTTTAAGACATTAAATTATTTATTTGTTTTTTTGCAAAAAAAAAAGTTTTTCTTTTAAAGGGGGGTTTTGAAAAGATGATACAAGAATTTTTTAAAAATAAAAAAAAGGGGGAATGCGAAAAATTTTTTTTTCTTTGTTTTTGCGTTCGTTAAAAAAACAGATACAAAATGTTTTCCCCCAGAAAATATGCAGAACAAAAAACAGATCATTCCCGCCTTCCACCCCCCCCCCATTTTATAATTTTTTCCCTTCAAACCCAAATTCTTAATTTGGGATTGAAACAAAATATATACAACAAATTGGAATTTTATAATTTGGATAAACCAAAAAAAAGAAATTTTCCCACTGCATTCGTCAAAAAATTAGCTAAACCTTTTTTAAAATTTTTTATTTTAAAACCAGTTGATTTTTTAAATTTCCAAAATTTTTAAAAAATTATTTTCTAAATTTTTTAAAAAAAAATTAAAGTCCCTGCATCTTTTCGGGGGTTTTTCAAATTATCCCTTTTTCCCTTTTTTTTTTTTTCATGTAAATTAAAAATCAGCTGAAACCCTTGCTTCTCAAAGTTTCAATATTTAAAACCAATATTAAAACATAATTTTTCACGCCCCCAACCTTTCCCTACATACCAACGTTTTTAAATTTAATAATACACTTTGACACTAAAATTCCAAGTTTCGACTTTAAACGGGTTTTTAAATGTTTCGCTCAGTCCAAGCATTAATTTCCCCACCGGGATATATATTTTTTCCAAAAGAAAATTGTTTTTTGTACAGCTTTCCCTAAAAAATTTTCCGGGACGGGAAAAAAAAGGGGCCTTTTACAGTGTTTGGGAAAAGGGTTTACTTATTTTGCTTATTTATTCCTTTTTTTTCAACCCCCAATAAACCCTTATTGCGCCTACGTGGAAAATGGAGGCTTTGGGGAGCGAATCCAACTTTAATTGAGTATTTAAGGGGAAAAATTATAAACCGTACAAATATTATCCCAAAATAAGTTTCAATTTTTGTATTTTTGTTTTTTTGTTTTGGCAAGCCCTGGGGGCATTGGGGAATTTTTAATTTTTGTTCTTAATTTTTGTATTTTTTAAAAGTTAACTATAAAAAAACATTGGGCTGTACTGATACATTTATAAAATGTATTACATCATTTGAAATGAGTATTTTTTTTTTTATTATGCCAGAATGTATTTTTTTTTTGTTTACTTTATTTAAAATTTTTAATTTTTTTTTTGTAAAACCTTTTTTTTCGACTTTTTGGGAAAGCTTTTACCCCCCAAAATTATCGGGGGGGTTTTGTCCCCATGTAAAAAAATGTCCCTTTATCAATAATTTTACAAAATAACGCATTAACAATGTAAAATCAAAAAAATTAATTTAAAATTTTTATATTTGAGTAAATTAAAATATTAAGAACGCTGATATATATAAGAAATATATTTTTGTAAAGAAATTAAAGGAAAAGATATATTTTTTTCCGGGGATACATATAAATTTGGGAAAATTTAAAAAACCAGTAAAACCCGCTTTAAAGCCGGGGATATAACCCCCTCAAAGGAGCGTAAAAATAAACAGCGTTAAACAAGGTTAAAACTCATCATGTAAATAATGGGGATAGGGGAAAAATTTATAGAAAATTTTGGTTTAGGTATTTTTTCCATTAAATTTATTATGTTTTTTTAACAATAAAACAAAAATTTTTACTAATATAGAAACATATAAAAAATATACGTATAAAAATAAATGAAATTTAAGTCCCGTATGTTTTTCATTTCAGATCATTTCTTTTTCTGGGATTTCCAATTTTCGCCTTTTTATCCCAAAAAGGTAGATTGGCTTAATGGCATATTTTTAATTTCACGTCAATCCATATAAAAATCGTTTTCCATTTTCCTTATTGTATTATTTCTAGAATGGGTAATTTAATTGCAGAGCTTGTGTCGTAGTTGCAATTGGGAAATACAAAAATTTTTCTTTGTTTTTAAGAAAAGGGCCCCATTGTTGAAGTTTCCAAATTCAATGCAACAATTTGAATTTACGTTTACCAAAATTTGATTTCCTTTTCCCCCTTTTATTCTAGTTTCTAGTGGGGAAAAGCTTTTTTTCTTTATTTTCGTGTTTTTTACTATAAGTCAGGATAAAAACTAAAAATCGTAATATTTGTCACCATATAAATCATTATATTATATAAATTTATACTTACAGTAACGTCAACAAATATTTGAAACGATAAAAATACGTTCGTATAACATCGCAAGAAAGAAGAAACACAGATAAACTGCTTCGGATATCGGCAAGCCTAACGCTGCGTGCAATTTTGGGGAATCTCACAAATCAAATAAAAGAGCGTAAAAACCCAAACAGCGCTAAACGAAACAACGTTAAGCGGGATCTTATTGTATGTTTAAAAAAAATTACTATTGTGCTCAAACTTTCCAAATAAGAGGGGGTTAATGAATCACGAATATGTAAATTTTACATAAATCCAAACTGAAAATTCGAAACATTGGTGGTAGTGCACATGTTCGTTTTTACAAAGAAAGAAGAAACGATCAATACCGAATTTTTTTCTACATATATATGTTTCTACTATATTTAAAATAGAAAAGAATTGAGCTCTAAAGCATAGCAAATAAAATAAAATTAATAAAATGAGCGTGGAAATCTGATATGAAAGCAAATATAAATAGGTATAAAACTGTTTAAAGCATAAATACTTTCGAACATAATAAACTGCTCTTTTATGCTAAGGTTTACTCATTTTCCACTGGGCAATTTTTAAAGATACTTATTTGTAAGGTTATGTAAGAAGCAAAAAAATTCTCTCGGTTTCAAGTTGACGTGCAAGAGTTTTAAATATTTCTCAATTGTTTTGAGAGTAAAGAGAATGAAATGTTCAACCTCAAACATTCGACTTCGCATTCTAAGGCATTGCACATTCAAAGCAACGAAAATATATTAAAAAGATTTATTTGACAAATGTGAAAATTTGCACTGAGAAAGAGAAATACACACAGTAATAGATGAAGTAATTTTTATTCAAAGCTTAAAAATATCGGAACAATAAGGAATTCATTATTATTTAAACAATTAAAATTCATAATACTTTAACCTTTTTCACACACAAAAGCTTCAAACAAAACATTAAGCAAAATGCAATTTAAATACAAAAAAAATTTTTGTTTTAAGTTGAGTGCAATGAATGAAATATGCTTAACGAAAATTCTAAGCATTTCATAAATTTCGCCAATCTAATTGCTGGATATTTTGTTGATGAAAAGTCTGTCAAATGTTTTCCTAAAAGAATTAAAATTAAAGTCGAAATGCGTGTCACATAATTTCAAAAGCATTTCTATTTTTCTTAAAACTCTCTTTAATTTTATCCAACTCATTAAAAGTAAGATCCACAGAAAATGACTGTCTTTTCATCAACAATCTGTGAGCAGCATTAGGCAACGCTTAAAGCCTTCAAACAGATTGAAATTCTGTCATTCCTCAATTCTTTGTTCCCGTGCTATAGCTTAAATTGTGTAATTACTGCAATCAACTTGGTATGTTACGATAAAGCAGCGTTTTAATTCTAACTTTTCTGACGCACAAAGGAAGTTTTTTTTCAACTGCCTTTCTCAGATCGAGGAAAGTGAAGAATAAATAATTTTCTAAGTAACAAATGTCGCGTATTTTCTCTCTCTGGGTACCATTTACTTTATCGCTACATTTTCAAAAGAATCTTCTAACCCAAAAGAACTGAAAGCTTGAAATTGTAAACATTTATTATTCAAGGTTCCGATGTAAATAATACAGCTGAAAACATATTGCTAACATTTGTTGTAACCAAAGCGACGGCGCAAGAAATGGAATAAAGTGAATGAGTTTTAATGGTTTCCATAAAGGAGTTCTATTGACATTTATAAAATATGCAGTGAGATTTTAAGGAATATTTTAAAGTAAATATATAGATCTTAACCACGGGTTTTTAAAATATTTAAGTTGTGTTCCTAAGCATACGCTTTAAAATTTGATTTATTTTTTTTAGATTAACGCTATCGGAAATAAACCCAATGAATAAAAGTCAGACATTCTAACAAAAGATCAAGAAATCTGTACTGGGGCTTCTTTTATTTTCTGCATCTAATATATAAATTCGATTCAAATACAAATTTAGCTAATTTTAAATTAAAAATGATTTTATTTCAACACATGCATCTGGTAATTATTGTTGTACCAGTCTTATAATTCTAAAGAATTTTGGAACTTAAAGATCGTCAAAATCTCAAATCATTCCCCGAAACTTCATTTTAACATCAAATGTTTCATACTATTTTTCCCCGTTACTTGTCTTTTACAATAGAAAATAATGCATTGTAAAAAAGAACGTATTAGTTTCTTTTGAATCAATTAGTTGGTCTTTTCAAGTATCTCAGTATAAGTAGTGTAATGTAAATAAGCCTGAAAAGTCAACAGAAAATAATCACCCCAGGAGATAAAGGAAGTTACTCAAATAAAACAATTGTCACTCACATATTGGTTTAATAATAAATTTATCTTAACTGTTTAACTGTTAGGTTATTTTAATGATTT